TGGAAGCAGGTGACCCAGGTGAATCAAGCCAATGCTTGCGCATGCACCTGTCCCTGGGCCTGTTCCATTGTCTATCTGCGGCAAGGAGAGTGTCGAATTGAGGGAAACCCCAAGTGAAGCTCTGCCTGACGACAGGGATACTTCGAAAGGAAAAACATCCTAGCACTAATGGCTGTGGCTCCCTGCTTGTAGGAGCATCTAAACCTTGGCCCTGTGATTGGCGGTCAGTGCATTTGCTACGGGCAAGCGGGTTCGACACCTTTTCGGTGGTGTTTTCTTGCTTGCTCAAAGGACTCCACAACGAAAGCAACGAGTGGTGAGGCCCAACCGCTCTTGGCATGATAAACTGGGCAAGACTAGGTTGCACCTCTTCAAGCTGTCCACTTGCCACTTGCTGGGTTGTGGGGGAAATCGCGTTGGCCGCTCTAAAGGGCTGAAGTCAGAGAAGGGTACGAGTACATAGGCCAATATTACAAAGAGGGAAGAAGGACCCCCCCGATATGTGCGTTGTTTTTCCCCTTGCAATAACTGGTTGCAATCCACACTGTTTTGCTGCCTCCCCCCCCCTCGGCAATTCCAACGTAAGGATGTTGAAACAGAGGTTTGCTATCCGTTTTCCTTGAGAGTAGGTTCTTGTCTACTTGAGTGATGTTCCATAGATGCTTTGCCGGCCGCTGTCAGCTATCATTCACTTCTTTCCTAAAGTGTGTTTGTTGTTTTCTTTATCATGCGGGGGTGACCTAAGCCACGAGTCAGGCCCACAAGTCCTCTCAAGCTTTGCTAGATCGAGTGCAGGACCTGCCTTCCAGCTTGGAGTGGACAAGACTGGGCGTGTTGTTCTCGTCGCTTTGTTGGCTTTGGCAGAGGGTTTTGTTCACCGGGCGCGGCGCTGCCGAACCACACGCAGCGAAGAACGCTGCGGTGGGTCGCAGACCATGCGAAAGACGACATCACGTCGTTGTATGGGCTGTTGCGCCCCATCTTGCGGGGTGTTCCAGGGATGCACATAGATCTCGGAGATGGGCGGTTTTTGAACAGGGAGCCCTCTAGGAAATGTGTGTTTCCTTTTGATTTTCCGAGCGCAGTGCAGCCTTGGGCCCCCAGTGCCTAGTCGGAATAGAGCGCATGGGGCTCAAGGGTTCTCTGATCAGCTTGTCGAGACGGGTGCGTCATGTTCCTGAACGGGGGATCCTTTCAAGCAGGTGGTTTCCTTGTTGGTTTCCCTTTGCAAATTGTAGGAGCCACTCAGATGATGCTTGGAAAACATGTTGCATCACTGCCTGAGAGTGATCAACATAAGTTGCTGTTCATGAGAAACACATGAACGGCATGACATAGAATTGTCGAAGGTTATAACTTGCCTTCTTTGGAAGATCAGCAAAGTGCCCAGGCATTCAGCCAGCCTGTGCTAACTCCTTTTGTGATGCTTTGCAAACTTTGCACACACTCAGATGCTCCTTGCGCTCGTTTTCACCCTGAATTAGGTTGCGCGCGCATTCTCCTTGTGTAGGAATCGAGGATGTGCCCCGCGGCTGAATACATGCGTCGTTCCACGACAAATGCACCACATTTTGTGTGCAAAGGTCAGGATACTTGATAGACGAAAAGGGACTTACTGCGAGCCCTCGGGTCTTATAGCAAGAAGCATAGTTCGAACTGCGCCGGGCCAAAGCTGGATGGTTCATTCGGATTGCACAGATAGCATATTGTGGGTTCCCTGATGATGCCAGCAGCCCATTCTTTGAAGATTAGATGCGGCTCAAGATCCCAGGGATTGGTTCATGGTTTTGAACGGTAGAAGATCAGTGTGTGTTTGTGTGTGTGTGTGTGTGGTGTGAGGGCTCACTGCTGAAATAGAACCCGGGGCCAATGCGTAGTGACTTGTTCTGTCTATCTATCTATGTATCTATCTATCTATCTATCTATCTATCTATCTATCTATCTATCTATCTATCTATCCTGCATCCGCGAGGCTCCGATACAGTGGCCTCCCGCACCCGCAAGCGCTGTACAGTTGCGAGGAATACACCAGGCTTGTGCATTTGAAAGGTCGCTGGGACATGCGCAGGGAGGGGGGTCACTTGTGGGGTGAAAAGCCCAGAAGAAGCAAACAACCAGAAGGAGCTTGGAGATCCTGAAGGAACACAACCATAGAGAGCCTGAAATGTTCAGGTATCCACACCATTGAAGTTTTTCTCAGGCTTTCCTTGTCAGGCTATGTGAAGGGTCCCGAAACCTCTCTGGGTACCAAGAGTGTCGAGGCTTCCGGTTGCTGAAGCTTGCTGGTTGTTCCGCTTGTTTTGAAGGGAGAGTTGAAATGATCATGACTAACAAGCATATATGCTGTTGTTGGTGCCTCATAAGCAAATGGATGTAAGGGGGTTCCAATAATCGGACATCACACGGGTAGTGGAGAGTCTGGCGCCTATTGTGTTTGTTTCCAACTCAATCAATAGAATTGGCACAGCCTCAATATCCAGAATCCAAACTACTGGCTGGGATTTTGTTTTTGGAAGCATGGCGTCTTTTGAGGCGTGGCATGGTCGCTTGTCCTTGAACGCAGTTCATCCCAAGCTAAGGCAAAACAATGAGTGGGAGAATCCCCACGAGTAAGATGGTACGAAAAACGCCGCCTGTCTCGCTCCTCCCTGCCACTTCTGGTGATTGGGTTCGCGCTGCGCCGCGTGTGGCTCTGGTCAGTCAGAAGCTGGCGTCGGCAAAGGCCGGACACGGGAGCTGTATGAATCCCACGGTCAGTGGCACCCTTGCTCACATTTGGTTTCAGGTATTGAGCTTGCCTCTCTGAATTTGTTTCAAGTTGAACAATGGTGTCCTTTAGTCATCTTTTGGTCGCTTCTTTGTCTTCACGGAGGAGAGGATCTGGACTTTGGGGAAAACATAAGGAGGCCGACTTAGGAAACATCCATATGGAAACAAATTCTTGGTCTCGTTGGTCTGAGTTAAGTTTGCTTGCAAGTCTGTGGGCGGAGCAAGTCAAAGCAAGAGGCACACAGCTTTATTACGCCCCGATTTATCACGTTTGCCTTGCCAAAGCCCACACCAAAGCCCAGGCAAGGGAAGAACACAGCAGGCCAGATCCAAGAGGTCCCACAAGTTGTAACTGGGGCTCGCTTTGCCTTGAGGACCGCCCAGGGATGATGCGCTTTGCTGCCGCCTTGCCTGTTTCATCGCTGCTTTGAGACAAAGGGATCGCGGGTGAGGTTCTGCTTCAGTTTGCAGGGAGCCACTCTTTGAATGTAGCTGAAAGGAGAAAGCTGTACCCATACCCCGGGACTAGTCAAATCGAGGAATAGTGGGCTTGGAGCGGCACCCAGAGAAGCTCAAAGAGGATCTGGCCCCGACAAGAGGGGACGGGCTGGGAGTAAGAGCTTCAAAACTTGCGGGAGCTGGCTGAACAGCTTGCTCAAGCGGCCTATGTTTCGATGGGCGTCTTGGTCAAGACGAATGATGTGGATTTGTTTCGCAGGGCTTGGCTCTTATCCCTCTCACCTTATGGGAACTCAGCTTCGACTTGGAGCAGCTTGCCTCCCACCCACAATGCATGGCGCCAGCAGTTGACATTGATCACTACCTCTACTGCAGCGTCACTGCATGTTGCCTTGGAGTTTGCATGCCGTTGGTAATTGCTCGATCCAGTTGGGGCAAAGCTTGCAATGGGACGCTCAGAAGTTTGAAGGGAGTCAACGTTGGATCCAGCTGCATGCTGGACAGGCCTTCGTGTAGGCACTCATGCAGGCTGCAGTAGGCTCCCACAGACCCGCTACTTACGAGGGGACCCCGCGGGGCCTCCACCCCAACTGTGGGCGGTTTTGTGGTTGGCTCCAAAGAACAAACCACAGCTGGCTATGATTTTTCATGGGGACCCGCCTTAAAATTGGTTGGTGGACACAAAACCATGCGATCGTTGCCAGGCCAGCAAGCTCTTGAGGCGCAGCCTGGTAGCTGGGCACTGAGCTGTGGATTTCCCAGAGGGCCTTTTTGGATGGTTTTGTCAGGGAAAACCAAAGGAAAGCAATGATGCATCCCTAATTCTGAACAACCACCCAGATTGCAAGTCAGCAGCCAAAATACATGGCCATGGCAGATTGTGGGGCAATTGTCCTTTGTTGCAGTTGCCTCAAGCATGTGTGCTCTGATGGTGGGTGGGATTTGGGATGTTTGCCGGGACAAGCCGAGGATGCACTGCCAGGTGGCGTTCCCGTACAAAGGTGAGAGATACGACGGTTTGCTTTCTTGCACTTCTTTCAGTCAAAGCATGATAATAGCCAGCCAGTAAAGAACATCTTGCTGTGATGCACAGGAGCTATGTTTGATATGTGCTGCATCAGTTGAATCCAATATAGCTTACGTACCACTGTTCTGCTGTGCGCCAAACTGCAGACACAAACCCGACCCCAGAGCTCCAGTGCGTGTGCTGCAGCTCCTGTTTCCGAGTGGCTTGCCCTCGAGCCTCGTTTTCCCACAAAAGATGGTGCCAGAAAGTTGATGGGTGCCCGCCGCCCGCCCTTTGCTGTTCATCAACGGCCGCTGTTTCCAGACTCCACCAATGGCTTGGGCTCAGGCCGGCGGCGTCGGAGCCTGCGGCCCGAGAGCAGAGAGCGGAGAGCAGAGCCCCACCTGTTCCATACGGGCTGCATGGTTGGAAGGACGACATTCCCTGAGAACAAACAACGGGAAGGGAAAGCAGTGGCAATCTCTTGGGGACGTGCCCCTAATAACATCCAGCTATGAGTTAAATATGTGTTCACATCTTGCTCCCTCTGAAAGTTTGCGCGTCTGAGGCAGTTGGTGCTGTTGGCCATTTCACGCCGTGGCAGGCGCAGACAGACCTTGCCATAGCAAAGGGCTGTGTGTCCAAATGAGTTGCACATGTTTGACGCCTCTTGATATCATGAGTCGCCGGTGGGCAGAATGCTTACTTGCAATATCAGCGATTTATCAGCGATACCCTTGCTTGTCGGCATATCCCGGCTCAAACTAGGGCTTGTACAGTTTGCCCCCGACCGCCAGGCGCACGTAGTTTGAAGTTCAATCACGGGGTCGTTTTCAGCTTGTGCCAAAGTCCTGTTTCACTTGCCTTCTCGGGTGCAACTCTGAGGTGCAGTACGTGAAAGTACCAATGCCGAGTGAAGTAAGGCCAGCTTCATGACACACCCGCGTTCAAACGCTCCTTCGTGATACTGTTTGCATTGGCGATATGTCTGTGATGTTATTTTTCATTGTACAGCCACAAGCGCGATTGAAAAACAGTGGTTCCCTTCTCCGGGGGGCGCAACCGACTCCGCCGCTCGTCAGGTGGATGGCATCAGAGCGCTTGCTGGTCGTGGACTTTGGGAAGAGACTACGCCATCTCGCGCAGGACGCCTTTCGAATCAGGTGTGAGTAAAGCAAACTGTTGGTCAGCGCCTTCTTCATGCATTCGTAAAGGGCTATTTCTGGGCAGTAATTCGCCTCGGCAGGTCAGTGTATTAAAGCATTGAAAGGAGAACGCAAGCACCACATTCCAACTAGAAAATGCTGGGCACTCTCCACGATCCACACAAAGCAGTGGTGGGAAACGGAAAGTTGCGGCGCCTTCCTTCTTGCGTTCTTGCAACCCGCATTTGGCTCCAGCCACTCTGTGCCCTTTGACGGCTGACAGCGCTTCCTTTCAGCTGGCCTGCGATGGCCATGAGGCTCTTGTTGGCATTCTTTGCTTTCGCAGCGGTGAGCTCCGAGAAGGTGGACACCGCTCTGGAGACGGACGACGCATGCGCTGCAGATGGTGACTGCAGCCTGGAACTGAACCAGCTGCGCGGAGTGAAGTTGCACGATGCGGAGGCTGCTGAGGACATGGTCCATGAAGAGGAGATTGTCACGGAGGGCGAAGAGGGCGGTGCCTGCACCAACTCGCAAGACCTGAACATGTGGAAGCATGGAGGCAGGAAGGGCTTCGACGGCGCCTTGAACCAATGCGGGCGCTCCTGCGCTGCTGGCTTCCCATGCACCAAGGACTGCATGCACAAGAAGGGCTACTCTGAAGGCTGTGCTTCCTGCATGGCTCACTTGGTGGAGTGCTCGCGCGACAAGTGCCTCAACCAGTGCATCAGCAATGACAAGAGTTCCGCCTGCACCGGCTGTGTGAAGAAATCTTGCCGTCCCAGCATGAAGCAATGCAGCGGCCTGAACGCTGGCGGCCACTGAGCACCGGTTCGGAGCATCAAAGAATGACGGCACGATGCACCGCAAGCCGTGCGCGTCTCGCATGTTCCTGACGTCGCAATGTCGGCGTCAGTCACTCATGCTTTACTTTCAGAGACTTCAGAGCTGCCGCGCAAAACAGGCGATGGGAGGATGCATGTGACGTGTGGTGGGCAACTGGGCAACGCCTGCCTGAAAAGGATCATCCTGGGTAGTCGAGCCTTGCAATTTGGCACCTAGCACATACAGGGAAAGATCAGCATGAGTGGAGAGTCTCACCGCCGCTGCTTCAAACTCGTCGTTGACGCATGAACAGCCTAGTGATGTGGCCAACAAAACAGTGAAGAAAGAAGTCCACATGACCAGCATGCACGCTCCGAAGACCTCATAAACTGTTGACCAAAGAATGCTTGACCAGCCTTTTCGGTCCATGGAATCCCGATACTGGATGGCTTATATACTTGTAGTGGATCAGGGGTGATCAAAATTCAACAGTTGGAATTTTGGACCGAGAGATCTCTAACCAATGTCGCAGGATTCGATGTTTCGCACTGCTCAGGCTTCACTTAACGTGTTGCTTTGTCAATAACTTTGCACGCCGAGGGCTTTAGACATGGACCCCCAAGCCATGCATGCTGCGAGTGTGCGCCTATGCAACTGTCATAACCAATGCAGCTCACCCATAGATAAAAGAAGGTTCAGGCCTTCGCTTGGGAAAATGCACCATGAATTGCGAATTCGTCAGGGCTTTCCCCGGGCATGAGCCAATCTATCAACCCTTCAGGAGACTGCCTGGCAAGATGCGCTTTTCCTGCTGGAGACGATGCCTGAAGCGCGCGTGGCTGCGAACCAGGTGTGCTACAACTCGGTAATGAAGCTTGCATTGCGGGTCAGAAGTCTTTGCTATGCACCTGCAGTTCATTGAGTTTTGAAGGGTAACCAAGATAGGGCGACCGTGGCGCATTAGCAACTACCCACATTGCCACCCACGTGCAGAACCCCAAAAGCCACCCAGCCCCCAACCGCGATGCCGATAGCCGACACACCTCGTAAAACGCACAAACTCCGGGGGTTCAAATAAGCAAGAACGTGGTTCTTGAGCCTCCCCTTGGAGAACGGCCAGCGGGGATCTTTGGAGCTTATGCCTTTGAAGTCTTCGAGTTGATGTTTTATGTTGGATGGGGCCAAAGCATCATGTTACCACAGGTTTGTCGAGAACCCTTTGAGGGCACCCTTGTGCCTGGCCGACAGAGGCGCGGAGGGTGCCCTTGATGGTTTATAATGGTGGAAACCAACGGTACACCACTTAGTTTGGGGAAGCACGCTGCCCATGGGTTTTGTTTCCTCTACAGCTGAATGTTTCCCACGCCATGGCGCGCCTTACAAGATCGCAAAATTCGGTTCATTTCCAAACAACGCCATGGTGTCCCTGTGGTCTTCCCTTTAAAGCCAACCACACGGGGGGGATTTCTTAGAAACCCCAACTCGGCCTCTGAGGACTTGCTTGACCTGGCGCAGCGGTCTGGCGCTCGCGCAGCACATGGAGCAGTGCCAGCTGGCGCCCGACCAGGCACGCAGAAACTACCGGAAGCTGGGCGGGGGAGGAGTTTGAGTCGTTTCTTGGTGGGCTTGTGGGTTTGAAGGCACGCCGAAGGGTATTCCAGGGTAGTCGGAATACGTCTCATTTGATGGGTCTGTATTGGTGCCGATATTTTTCTGGGGTCCACCTTCTGTTTCTCTTCCTTGTTGGTTTTTGTTTTTGTTTGCCTCAGATGCTTCATCTAGGCCACTCAATCCACTCCTCAGGCACCATGAAGAGAAACAACACAAACACGCCAATAGCCATGGCCCTCTCAAAGGACGAATCTACAGAAGTCGATGTTGAACCTGCAGATGTCCTGTCAGCATGGAAGATCTAGATGGTCCAACCATCCTTTAGGGAATCTGACCAAAGGGGCACGCGTTGACCATGTTGACCGAAGCTTTTGAGAGAGCTCAACAATTTCAAGTTGTTCCTGTTGCTCAGAAAGGTTCCCATACCAGCCAGCAGCCAGGAGCCTCATGTGTTTTCCTTTGTCAAACGAGCAAGGAAACTGGCATGAGACAACGTAGAAATGAAGATATCTGAGCCTATAAGATGAATGCGCAAATGGCATGTATGTGTTTTTTGCCAGCCAGCTGGTTTGGGCGGATCGATTTTGAATGTTTGACCGGACTTCCTCGTTGTTCTGGCTCACAGGGCTTTCTTGGCCATGAAAGCCATACAGCACCCAATGCATTCATTGTGGGTACTTCCAAGATAGACAGATGCCAAGCCCCTGCCACGGCTCATTTGAGGCTTTCCACATTTTAGTTTCTGGCGGAATCTGAAGCCTTGCATCCAGGCAGACAATTTAGTACCTGACCTGATTGGTAGAGCCAGTGCAGTTGTCGAACAAGGCAACACACATCGCTGTGGCCGGTGAGTCGAACGCCCTAGGAAGATGGTTCCGCGATGTGTTGGAAAAACAATAGACTAATAGCGTTGCTTGGACTTGGATACGTCTGAAGATCTGTGCATTGTTTGTCATCGTTAGCTTTCAAGCCACCCAACAGGTTCCCTGCTTGTGAGATGTGTCCCAACCTGCTTGCTGATTGGAAGACTTGAGTATCACACGTGCGTGTTGTGCTTGTTGGCAAGCACGTGTGCCAGGCTCCTACGCCAGTAAGATTGCACAAAGCGGCAAGAGTGACGACATACGGTGAAAAGCTAACTAGGGCAAGCTGTTCGGGAAGGGAAGAGCAGGCGTGTGAGCCGCGCAGGTCATTGGTGCCTTTTGCGGGGAGACACAGAACGACAGAGAGAGAGGGAGAGGGAGGAAGAAGGGAGGAAGAAGAAGTGAACTCGTGACCTTTCTTCTATTGGAGAAAACATTGTTCTTGTTTTTTTCTTCTTCTGGCACAGCCACCATGGCGCGGTTGCGGACACAGCTAGAAACAAGATTAAAAGCCGCCATGATTCCATAGCAAGAGAGAAGCTGAAGCGTCACACTGCCTTTTCAGCACGGGAGGGACCGATTGCTGGGTATGTGCATGTGTGTGTTTGTTGTCATTGTATGAGTATGTACATGTCGTTAGTTCCAATGATCGCTATTTGTGTTTTGGTTTGTAGCTTGAAGCATTTAAAACTTATGATCGCCATAAGCGTTTTGTTTGTTTTGTACCGCAGCGGCTGACTGCTGCAGCCTGCACCATGCGAAACAGACTTAAAGCCTTCGGCAGGTCAGCCGGGGGATCCTGCTGCGAAACTGCCAGGCGGCAGGGGTTGCAGCGCGCGTGCACCCTTCAAGGTTTACCTTGCGACCATGTTTGAAGCTTCCTAGAATCTTTATCACACAAAAAAAGGTCCATGGTGTGTTGGATTCCAACTTGTGTTGAATCAGGTAGGGGCCAATATGCGAGTTTTGTTGAAAGCGCTTCGTTTCTAAGCACGTTAGCCTCCCTCGGCTTCCGTGGCAAGCCACCAGGGCGTGTGTGGCAGCCTTTGCCTGAGCGCTAGGTAATTCCTAGTTGACAATGTTTCCCCGTTCTCCGATTGCCGACCTGCACAACATGACCAAAGAGCGTTTTCCGTGTTTCGTGGCCGCTGACAAGCAAGACACTGATCATTGAGCAAAACTCACGGGGCATAACCAAAACAAGCTGAAGCAGCACGCCTAGCTCATCAAGTAGCGGGATCTAGCCGACTAGAGAAGAGGGCGAGAGGGAACAAATGTTGTGTTATGGGTCTTGGAAAAGGGCCTTTTGCTCCTTGCCCGGCCTCCCAGCCGTTTGCGTTTCCTCCAGCCTTCCTTGTTTTCTACAAAAAGTTTACACACAAAGGAGGGGCTTGAGGATGGGAGTCAAAATGCAACATGCCGCAGGACTCAAAACCACGCATCGTTTGCTTATAAGATAAGACAGGCACCAAAGTTCGAAGACTGCGCTGCCTCTTCCCGCAGGACTGGTGCTGGGGCATTCAGCTACTGAAGGCACGGTCCGCATAAGCTCCAGGGGAGGGTCATCAACCCCTTCAACTCTCAACGTGGACGACCGTACGGACACATTTTGTGTAGGGGAATGGGGGAGATTGATCATGACCAGATGCGCATGTGTGTAGTCTGGGCGACCTTGACTGGAGCTGCATGCGGTCTGTGGAGGAGGCCACGTGTGCCTTCGGACACGTAGTTGAACAGCTGTTGCAACTTGAGGCTTCAAAAATTGGGACGTTGTCCCGTACAGGAACTTTTGCTGTGGCACGCTCAGATTCCCTCGTTGTAGCCGAGAAGACTGCATTCTAGAAGGCAAAATCACAGTGCTTGGCAAGAGTCTTTGCGCGGGTGTTTTGTCGAGGGGCCAAGCTGCCTTTGGTTTTGGGCGCCCGCACAGGCATGGCCGGACGTTGAGGTGAACATCATAGCCTTCAATAGTTTTCTGAACTTGTGCACTTGGCAGCTGGCGCTTATGGACGCCTCCCGAAGCTTGGATCTGAGGCGTGCGATGGGCGACACTTGCCTGAGTGTCACTCCAAGCAGAAGAGGGCCATGGTCAGGCTTGCTTTAAAGGAACAGCCATGTTTGGCGATTTTCCTCTTCCTTGGCTGCAAACATTAGCATTTGTTTGTGCAGGCTCACTGGGATATTTTCTGACATGGCATCCGGTCGAGGAAATGTTGGGATTTGTATGGAAGGAAGCTTAGCCTGGCATGTAGCTTGCTTCTAGTCGTTTCTTTCCAGTTGTTTCGACATTAAAAAACAAAAAAAAACTGCCAGGGACATTCTCGAAGCCGGCAAAATGCCTTCCCGGCAGAGAGAGGCACGGGAAGGTTCTTGGAACCCCAGCCTCGCCTCTCGCGCTGAGGGCTCGACCCCAACCTCACCACCTGCAACACCCGGATCAACGCCTGCAGCGAGCACTGGGAGATTGCCGCAACGCTCCTGGCCGGAAGCTACGGCAGAAGGAAGTTGGATGGTATCAGCGACTTGGCCTGCGAGTGTCCTCTTTATTTGGGGCTATCTTCTGGATATCAACAACGGTAGTGTTGAGAGAAGTCCCTTTCAATCAACTTAGAGTAAAGTGTACAGAAAGGTGTCTTGAAGTTGTGTCGAAAGGCAACACTGGGCAAGTGAGGCTACAACAGCAGCCTCAAGGCCTACGCCGAAGCAGGATCCATCAACTCGATCGATCCGGACGGAAAGCGCAACCATGTTTGCTGTGTTGGGCCTGGGTTGCCATGGGGTGCGACAGGTGTCGCAATCCCAGGGGAAGGGAGGATAGCCCCACAGGTGGCTGAGCTTGGTGGGCCTTTGGGCGGTTCCACCAAGGAATAGGGGGGTTTTCGCAGATAAGCCAGGAGAACCTCAGAACTTTGGCCTTTATAGACGGTGAACCTCCCCAATTGTACCCTGCTCAGCTGCAGCTGCATTTACCCACTGTCTCTCTGCTCTTCTTGTTTGTCCCCTACAAATAATGCGCCAGCAGTAGAAGGATACGCGTTTACCACGACCATTGCTGGCTTCTGACTTAAAATATGGAGGGGTGGGTGACGTGGTGCAGCAGGTTGTGAGCTTCTCAAAACTGGCTGGCCGACCTTGAAAGGATATCCATTCTTATCCCTTTCCTCATTTGATGTGCCTTTTCCCAAACCTAGGTACCGGCAGGGCTTTGTAGAAAGCTTACAAGCGTGGGCACCTAATTGTGAGTTGCATGCAACATGGCTTGATGTGTTATTTGCACTCTGTAGGCATATGTGGCAATGAGAGTGGAAGGCTGCTACTTTCCACTTCTCAACGTGTTGAAGCCTCCTTAATGAGGCCGTGACCTTTTGACGTCATTTCACGTTTTAGATTCCCGAGTTTCGGGCCAGAACAGTCCCAACTTGATCCAAACATGAAAGCAAACTCACCCAAGACTAGTGAGCCAACCACTTTTTGTTGTTATTACGGTTTTGCCCCAAAATCCAACCAACCACTTTTACATAGGTTCTTTTTCGTGTGTTTTCCCGGTTTTGCACTCGGCTTCAGACGCCCACAAAGCGTCCACCGGCGATCGGCGCCAGGGCGTTGGCGCGCGGCGCTGGAGCTGCTGCCGCTGATGGCGCGGCGCCGGGCGGCCGCCACAGCACCACGGCACTTCCGCTCCCCCCCCCCCCTGGCGCCCGGGTTTGGGGGGAACCGAACACGGGGAAAAACCGGCCAGGTTTGTGGGAAAGCCCACCATTTTTTTGTGGTGCAACCGGCGATTTGCGATTTTTGGGGGTTCCCATAGTTTTGGTGAATCGAAAGGGACACCACACATGTTAATGGTGGTTTGGGGGTAGTGGAAACTATGTTAGAAACAGGTGGCAAGTGTCCTTTTAGATTCCTCTTGTGCTTGCGGGCGCGAACTTCATTCTTCCAGGCCAGGAGGCAAGTGGCCTCGGAGCGCAGGAGCTGGATCAATCAAGGCTGGGTTGACCAGAGCGGACGGTCAACACACTGGTACTTGAATGGTTTGAAGTAAATGAACAGCATGAGCAACAGTGTGCGTTCACGACATCCGCAAGGATGCTCGATGCAAGCAAGTACTAGTCGCTGTGTGTTTCAATAGCGTTCAAAGAATGCTATAAGGCGCAATTTGCCTACTCTTTTCCCGTACTGTTTGGTCCCACCCCTTCATGCGTTATTGTTTGGCAGCGCTGCAGGCTCAAAAACGTCCGCCCTGCAGAGCCCACCCGGCCGGATTTGAATGGCCTCAAAGCTTGGGAGCTACTCTGAAGATTCAAGGGTTACCTGCTTAGGGCCCAATAAACCAAGTGAAAACCTCCTCCAAACGCAGGGAGGTTTTTGTGGAAAGAAGCCCACAACCGTAGGGAGGCCTTAGGGAGGCTGTTGCCACAGAGATTCATTTGGCTATGGGTGTATGTCTACAAGAAAGAAGAGCTTGCAAAATATTGACGGGTTGAACCATTTTTTCTGGTGGCTGGACCCAACTAGCAGTCTTCAAACTTGTGAAGGCTCAGAAGCGTTTCACCCAGTACAGTTTAACCAACCACATCAGCAAATCAATGCACCGAGGCCAGAAGTTACAGCAGCTCCATCTCAGCTTGCGGACTGTCACCCGGCTGCACTGATTGTAGGGAGTGATTGACGCGATTATCCGCATTGCTCCAGTGGAGTCAAGCTCGTTTGAGTCACAATCAAAACCTGGCCCTTCGTAAAGCCTTGCGTGGGTTAGGGTGGTTTCCCCCCTTAGATTATGATTCTGACTATTTTGTTCTGCGCTCTTGGGCGAGCACTGGCCACTTGAGCTCAGGGGGCTTCGCTGGAAGAGCGCGCTGCTTGTGCACTCCTCTGACACGATGTCGGGCGAGAACTCGGTGTGCAGCAATGGTGCGGCGGCGCGGCATCAGTTTTGGCCGTTCAAGTAAATGGGCCAAGCGCCGTTAAGTTGGACCTCTTTTTGTATTTTGGATGGCATTGACAGGGAAACCCAAAAGAGACCGCCCACTTGTCACTTGTGGCGGTCCAACTTCTTGCAGAAAACCATAATTTGCACAAAAGCAAGGGGCCGACATTTGGTTGTGTTGCCCCGCCCTGCTCCAGTTCCTTGTAACCGCACCCCGCCACAGCCTGCGGAAGCTCCTAGTCATACCCTGGCCAAGCACCCTTCAACAGCAAGCGGCGCAACTCCCAGTCGCAAAATCCACCTTCCAGCAGATCTCTGCGCACATCTCAGCCACACTCGCCGGCACTAAACAACATATCTGCCAAGGCAACATGTCCATTGTCAGTCAAGACAGGTTTGCCAAAGAGGAAAGGACATACCATCACCTGGCAGGTACGCCTCCAGAACGAGGGCCCTGACATAATCTGGAAGGCGACAGTAGGATGAATGCTGCTGAAAAGGCTGACTCAGAGTTTTGCGAGGTGCTTTCGCCGCGGGTTCCATGGTGCTGCCTCGAACTCCTGCAACCGTGTCAAGCCCTGGCTTGGCTGCCCGCGCTCCTCCTGCCTTGAAGCGTCTTGAACCGTGGCCTTCAAGACGGCCCCCTTCCCTCCAGCCACGGTAAACCCTCACATGTGCGTGCGTGAGGGTAAAGCAGAAGGCGATCAAACAGGGCTAAAGCCCCAACCTGTCTCTTTTCAGTGGTTTTGCTTGTTGCTCACACTCCCATAGAGCGGTTTCCCTGGATCTAACATGGCACCGTTTTTGGAAACCCACCGGTGCTAGTTCTTGCAGCAGCCAAGTTGCCTGGCTCCAAATTGAACTGGTCGGCGCATTTGGGATTCACCAAAAACATGCCACCTTTCCTCTGTTTGACCCTTTTCATAATTTATACCCCTTGAACACACGCATGCAAATTACCTGCTGAAGTGCCGTTCGGCAGTTGCCACGCCCAGGTGGCTGCATGTGCTCAAGCAGGACACTGGATGTGGGCGCAAAGCATTTGGCAGAGGATGCGCGGGTTGCAGGCGAGGGCTGGCAGAGAGACTAACCGCTTTGCCTCGCCGAATGCTGTCGGGGTAGCGTTGGGATATAGGTTGCATGTGGCCAACTTAGTATAAAGCAGTACGTGAGGTATACACATTAGTGTATTGATGTACTAATAAAAAGTGTATATAATTACATATGTACATATTGTACATTTACGCGTATACACAGAGAGAGAGAGAGAGAGATGCCTCCCCCTTTGCTCTACACTTCCTGCAAACTGTAGTTGAACATGTTGCAGGATTGAGTTTTAGTTGCTGCTTGTCAAGGGATGCTCAAGGTCTGAGATCGGAATATGCCAGGCCTGAGGGCACCTTGTTGTCTTGTGTCTTGTGTTCAAGTCAACCAGCGCGAGATTGCGCTGTTGGGGTTTGAGGCCCCGCAGGGTCCCCTCCCCGCTCAAAGGTCGGTGGCGGGTCTGAGGGGGCAGCCCGCTTCAACCCCCGGCAGACACCCTGCATGAGTGCCACTGCCCGAAGGCCCACGGGCCAGCATGCAGGGGGCGTCTCTGTTCGTACAAGAAAAAGAAGACCCCCCCCCAAAAAAAAAAAAAACAAAGGCAGCAGCGAGTCCAAGGCCACTTTTTCTTACCTTCTGAGTGCCCCAGCAAAAGCATTACAAACCTTACCGGTGAACAAAACCCTTGCAGCTACTACTTCGTCCAGACCAACTGGGTTCAAGCAGTCAGTAACCTCTTCAAGCAGCAGTCCAGATTCCATAGCCAAAACAGATGTGGCCGAGCACTCGTAGAGGCAGTGATGAAAGTCAACTGCCGACGTGAAGCAAAGTGGGCAGGACGCAAGCTGCTCTACATCAGAGTTGAGTCCCCACAGGGTGAGGGGCAGGCTTGAAGTCAATCGGCACAAGAGCCAAGCCCTGTGGAACTTCCACCTGAGTCTTGACCAAGGCGCCCATCGTAACTCAGGCCCTCCTAAGCAAGCTTGACTTAGTCCAGCGCCCACAAGTTCCCTCTGAAACCAAGCCGCCTCAAAAACCTTCACTGCGGGCCCAAGCACAGACAACTTCCATTTGGCCTGTAAGCGCTTTGCCTCTTTTGCAGAGTGTGGGGCCGGATGTGCGTTTGCAAAAACCTCCCACCCAGGAGCCACTGAAAACTCTGCCTCAATGAGCCTAGCATGATCCAGCCACGTTGCGCCCGTCACAGCAGGGGCTGCCTCAAGGGCGGCCTCCACTGGGTGCCCACTCTGCAGACTTAGGAGCCGCGCCCTTGTCATGCAAATTCGCATTCCTAGGCGCGTTCCTAACCTGAGTTGGACCCCAAGAGAAGCAAACAGCTTTGCCTGCCCGCTTGCACCTAAAGAGAAGTCCCGCCCTGCAGAAAGCAGCGCTTTGAAAGCCTGGTACTGGGCCTGATTAATGCGTTTACAAACGTAGGGGAAGCCCAGGACATGGCTTGCCAAAATCTCAGCGCCATGAAGCACGGCCGGTTCAACCCTGCTAGAGAATTGGGCAACCAATTGCGGCATGCCAAAGCCAAGTCCCCACAGGGCAGCTCCTAGCTGCTGCGTTAGTGTTTGCACACGGCAACAAACAAGTTCAAGCTGGGGCGATAAGGACAATGCCGTGTCCAAGGTAGGTCCGAGCACTGTTATCGCCTGCGCAGGTCTGACCTGTTCACCTTGTAAAGTTCCTAAAGCCTCAGCGGCGGGTGTTGCTGCCCCGACCGCCAGAACTGCGGCCCTTTTCTTGCCACCCTTGAACATGTGTTTCCAAGATTCAGCAAAGGATTCAAGTGCACGATTTCCTTTCAGCAGCCCAGCAAGCGAGGAATGAAACACAAAGGCGTCATCCACAAATTGCGTCAAGAGAATCCGATGCTGAGCAGAGCAGTCAAGTACTGACATTCTGTCAGCAAAGGACAATTTTCCAAGGTGCCGCGCCATTTCTTCCTCACTGTGGCACCTTGAAAGAAAGGTTGCCAGTCTGGAGGGCTCACAAGAAGATGAGGTGCTCTGATCCTCATGCTCATCTGCATATGTGACAAACTGACAAGCTCTGCAAAGCGGCCTTGGCACATTCAGACCTATCCCCCCAGAGACCTTCCTGAGTTCCAGCGCCAAGTTAGAGACAAGAATGCCAAAAAGGTGGACCGCAGCACGCTTACCCTGCCCAATACCAAATTCCGTCAGCTCAACAAGAGACCCAACGAGAGGGCCTACTCTGACACGGACCCTGTCAGTCTCCAGAGCTGCGTCGGCCGCAAGCCAGAGCCTCCCAGTAAGCCCTGCTTCCACGAGGCAGCTCCTAATGCCATCTCTCCAGGCGAGGTCAAAACCCTGCAACAAGTCAACTTTCTCCAGGAAGGTAGGCAGCTCAAGGTTGCGGCGAAGCTGAATGGCAATGAGCACCCCGACCGCAATTAAAGTAGAATCTAACCTTCCACCAGCCTGTTCCTTGCCCATGAACTGCTCAAGGAATGGACGAGCCTGGCGGAGCCACAGGGCATCAAAAACTCCTGCCAGCTCGTCAGTGTACCCAATTGGGCGAAGCTTGGCAGGATCATTCACAACCTCTGGCCCCTCCTTCCTGATGGGGGTAAGCTCCCTCCACCACAGCGCAGGCACTAGTCCGAGGGTAGCGGCCAAGTTGGTCAAGGCCCAAGTCAAAAGGAAGAGGAGTTCATTGTCAGCAACAACCGCTGCGCGTGGGAAGTGCAATGACCTCTTGGAACATCGTTCCTTGTTGCATGGTCCGAAAAGGAAGCTACAAGGAAAGCTACCGTACCACTTAGAAGGTCCAATGAGCTTTGACACATTCCCGGGCATCCTTTGGGATGTTTCCCAACAAAGGTGGCCTCTAAAGATGGATGGTCTCCTTTTCATGCCCCTCAAACATCCGAAATGGGGTTCCCTATTTTGAGATGACCCTTCTTAGATTCTTGGCCCCGCAAAGTGTTGCGAGGTTGACAAAATGAGGGACCCTCCATGGACCCTGCTAGTTGCGAATGGTCACAGTTGGAAAGGAAGCTCTGCACTTTTTCCAGATAACCGAAACTGGACAAAGGAAGGACACATATGTTGTATGCTGCGACATGAATGTGTCGTCAAGGAGTTCCAGCAAGTGGCATATAGGATTTTTGGGACTTCATGTGAAGTATCTTATACTGTCATGGAGCTATTAGGAATTCCATTCGGAACAACCTAGACGTTCCAGGCAAAAGACTTGGCAACAGCTTGCTCTAGGAATTCCAGGAACTTGTCTCAGACAAAGGTACTCGGAAAAGCTTGCGTGCCCGACAAAACCAAGACTTTGTTCGCACCGGTTCAAGATTGAAGGTACTGGATGGCCTAGGCAATGCCCAAACGAAATAGTACTCGAAATTGGTTTCGCTGCTTTAATGTTTGTAAGTGGTTTGGCCCCACTTCAGATTCCTTCACCTTCTTCAAACTCGCTGGAAACAACCATGATTGGGCATGATAATCGTTTGCCGTCTTCATGGATTGTTGACCATGTCTGGCAGGTGTTGAGTTGTTTTCTGGTCTTGTGTCCCTAGAATATCGACAACAGGTCTTGATTGCATAGGTGTGTGTGTGTGTCTCCGGCATTTCTTGGCACACTGATTGCTACTCTTGCAAGTGGAGATACAACCGAATGAGTAGATGGAGATGGCAAGGTAACAGGCTCTGGATTTCTGGGAGGGGTACCACGTATGCAATTGCGCAGATCTTTCTTACAGTGACTTGCAACTTAGAAAGTAAAGCCGCCTTCTTGCAGTCTGAGCAGTGGGACACATAGAGAGATGGTAGAAGATGGTAGAAGGATGCATGTAGACTAGTTTCACCAAAGAACCGTCAGACAGCAAGTTCCTTTTGGTGATGTGATTGTAAGGGCTCAAACTGGGCTGCATGTGTTTAGCATGTGGCTTGTTCAAGCCGCTCAAGGCATGCTTTAACACCAAGCCCACCAGTGCTGCGTATAGTAGGCATCCTGCTCATGCAGAAGATCCCAGCCGCTAAAACCGCCCTCCTCTCCCCTTAATCAACCCAGTTTGTCACAAGTCGGGGTTGAGGTCCATCACTGGAAGCAGATGTCGGCGAAACACAGACATGGACATGCCTGTGGTGAGCGGTACATCCATGCAATGGCTCATTGTAGGTACCCAACTGGACTTTGGACATCCCACGACACCTATTAGGTGACACCGTTGTGTTCAGCATTGTGTTTGTACATGCTGATGAAACCCTGCAACGTTCGAACGGTATCCTTATGCGGCAACCAGCCGAAAAAGCCGCAATCTATCTAAATGTACCTGGTACACTTGATTTGGATATGTCGGTCCTTCCTCGGGTGTGGGTCTCAAGTGTCTCCAGATTGCCACAGTGGTCAGCTACAGTGCGGTGCGCCCATCTGGCTGGCCGGAATCGCTGCTGATGCTCAGACACCTTAGACAGGCACGGGTGCCTGCGGGTGCCTGCGGGTGCCTGCGGGCAAGCCGTGGTGTTGGGCAAACGTAAAGAGTGTGCATCGAAGACACCACGTAACTCACGAGGGTGAATGAAAAGGTGGATGTTCTCAACACTCTGCTTGGGATGGGCATTGAAGCTGCCTTTGTACACAAATGCACGTATGGCCTTTGAGATTGCAGCCACCAAGCCCATAGTTTTGAAGGGGGGTTGGGAGAATAGTTGGTTGTGGGAAAGTGGGAGTGTGATCTCGAGGGCACCCTCTGTGAGATGTCAAAAGAACCCCAAGGAAAGCCACCCCACCATCAAGAGAGACACACGCATATTATAAATTCAATGAAAGCCCCTGAAGCGATCTCCAGCAATTTTGTTGCTATCCCTTTACATTTAAATGCAGCTGAGATGCTCCGCAGCTTGATGCAACAAGTTGAGCTGCTTGACCAAGACGGCACTGATGCAGGTTTGCCCTGCAAGCAGGCATGTAGCGGACATTCACGCAGCCTGGGTGTGTTGTTGAACTTGGTCCTTGCTTTTTCAGATGGCGGACCGATCTGCATGATTTGCTACGTATATTGTGCCAGCAACATTACAAGCGGAACCTCTAAGTTTATGAAGTGCTGGTGCTCAATCATTTTGACCATGTAAAGCGGATATGGAACGGAAAGACCGTTTTTGGGTGGACTCGCTCCTTGCGGGCCCTCGTACATGTCCATGATTGTTTGATGAAAGTATACAAGAAGGCCGACCAATAGAAACATGGAAGGATCCAACTGTTCTGTTGTGAAGCATTCTGATATTGGACCGCGTTTGCAATTTGATCCGAAGACGTAGTGCTGCACATTCTCATCTAGCTGCAGAGCCCTTGTAACACGAACATGGTTGCAGCTAAGTTGGCGGACAAACGTTTCCCAATCCTTGCTATGTGGCAAATGTAGATCATGCTGCACGCTGCTCACAAGAGCCCCGATTAGATCGCGTGGTGCTTTTAAGGAGCTTTTTTTTGGGGGGTCCCCCCTTCAAATCATTGAATTTTGACGGTTGAGTTTGAAGGGGGCCACGGACCGCGCTTGAAGCGTGCAGGCCGAGCTGGAAGCGAGCGCCATCAGTTTCAACACGGTTATGGACTCCTGTGGCAAGGCAGAGGCGCCTGCAAGTGATGGCAAGCTCACTGATGCTGGAGTTAAAGCAAGGTCAGCCAGGATGAACGTCATTGACTTGGGAATTCCTTGTTTCCAGTTTGTGAATTTTAGTGTTTTGTGCCTGAGTTGTTTTATAGAAGCATCAAAGATGCCTGGACTGGAAGGGACGGGCAAAGCTGCAGGGGAACAAGCGGGAAGACTTGAGGATGACTCACCCAGCAATAACAGGAATTTGCTCCCCACCCCCCACACCCGCTTTCTACTTGGCTTTAGATTGAAATTGCCTTGAACATGTTGCTGCACCTGGGGGACCTCGTTTGAGACCCTGGCAAGATTTAGATGCGCTTAGATGAAGTGGTAGCGGTCGTGACTTGTATTGTTTGTTGATGTTTTTTCCTGCAGTGAGTTGAAGGGGAAACAAAGGCAAGAAAGAGTTCCAGTGCTGGCAGATTGCCCGATACACGCTAAAGAACCCTGCGAATATGAATCCACCCATGAGCATGCGGCTGGGCCCTATTAGATGGCATTGATTCGTGCAGTACGGCTAGCAAAGACATGTTATTTGAGCGTGGGTGAGCCTGCAAATGATAGGATCCTAACCCCATCCCCCAAAGCGCATCCCAAAGGAAAGAAGGCCTCATAAAGAGGTCATGTAGGAAAGGGCTGGCTGAGATTCCTCCCGATTCCCCCTAACCGATCTCCTATGGCAAGGCGTGGCCGTTGGCTTCGCAGCTGTTGGCAACCATGAGCGCCTTGGACACCAAATTTTCGCAGTCGCTCTTGGTGGCAGTTGGGGTGTCCTGAAATGAAGGATCGACTTCCTTTTGGGCGGTGTTTCAAGGGAACTATGAAGAGGCTGTCACCACTCTCGGGGTTGCCCATGTTGGGAACACCAACATTTTAGGGGTCACCTAAGGCGCCTCCCAAAACACCACTGTTGGTGACACATGTCCTTGGCCTCATTGCTTTGACTGGCCCGGGCCGGGGTCGCTAGATGTCCCCTTCAAAAGCTTCAATTTACCGGTGGTTACTGGTTTCCATGAAGCTGCCACGTGTGGAGGTTATAAGAAGGGAATTTGAGGAAACGACTGGCGAGGGCCAGTTTTCGATAGCCGGCGAGTCTTCAGAATGACATACGTTGCGGTTGGGAAAATGCATAGATACAGGTGCATTATGAATGAGACAAGAAGATTGAAATTCTCGTGTTCCCAACTCAAAGGCCACTATGCGGAAAGGACGCTGGTTAAAGTATGCTGGACGCCCCAACAAGCAATTTGCAGAGATCTTGGTCCATGTTGCCCTCCTTTGCGGTTTACAGGTGGTACGTCGTTCAGAGGATCTGTTCATCTCGTTTGTTTATCGGTATGTGTCAAAAGTAGGGCCCCTTCAACCCGTTCAAAGCAATCAGTGGGCAGATGAAGGTTGGTAGGGCACAATCCCATGGATCAACAGGTGTGGCCAAAGGTTTACTTGGTTTAGAGTGGTGGACGACAGGTGAACCCACTAGTCTAACCCCTCTCCCAGCTTACACTCTGCGATGTCCTGAGTTCTAGACTTACACTTTTCACAACAACAATTGAGCGTTAGTATTAGGCCAAAAAGTTTGAACTTGCTTTGGCCAAGTCAGGAAATGACGTTCGGGGTTTGATTTTGACTCAGGTGACCTTTGCTTGGCCTTTACACCAGTGAGTGTCACCACCCAGCTGGCGGCGCTGGCAGGGACGGCCTGGGAGCGGGCGCTGGAGGTGGAGGGTTTGGTGGAGGAGGCAAGCTACAACGCGATGCGCCTCAGCTGATCAGTGAGAGACCCCTTTTCTTCTCTGCTGAGGGGGGTGTCCCTGCCCAAAAGCGAAAGGCCTTTTTTCCCCCATGGCGAACACTGGGAAGAAATCTCGATACTCATCGCAGACGGAGCGGGGTTCCCTTTAAACTCGACCAACAAAAAAAGGCGCCCTGGTGTCCTGTTGCCACTGAGCTTCTGAGTCATAAAAGGCCAACATGTTGCGTGGTTCACGGAGTCCACGTTTTTGCAGGTAGCCAAGATGCAACCGCGCTATTTGGAGTTGGAAAGATTGAACTTAGTGGACTCCAATGTGTTTCTAGTTGTTTATTTGTTCCCTCTCTCTCTCTCACATACATCCTGAAGCGACCGACCGCAGGGAGGTGAGCCAAAGGTAAACAATGAAAAGCAAGGGAAATGATAGTATATTATATGAAGAAAGATATGGATTAAACAGCAACTAATAAATTGAAAAGACCAATCAGTAAAAGCGATGTAAAGATGCGATACAAATGTATAAAGTACTGAGGTCTTAAGAAAGAGACCTGCACAGGTAAGGAAGAAATAGATAGAAAGATAAATTGATAATAGTTCATTAGAACAACATATTAAAGACAAGACTTCAACATGACAACTGTCAATCAAGATGAAGAGGGATAGCATACAAATGCAGCGCTTGGACTTTTCTCTAAGGCGGAAGGCAACTCAGGGCGTCTGAGCTCGGCTCCAGATGCAGCAATTGTATTCCATTCTTATCACCTGCTGTTCTTTTTTTTGTGTCGCCTAACAATAAATCCATGCAAATTCGGACATGTTTTTTGAAAGTGGGCAATAGACAGAGGTAATAAGCTCCGTGTTTGGTGTTCCCCGAGATCCTGGATAGACTGGCCAGGTGTCTTTTGGGAGGCTTGCCAGACGTGGTACCTCGCTGGAAACAGATGAGTCAAGGTTTTGCACCAGCTTCCGCCATTGAACTGTGTCCTTTCGGGTGTTGGGTGATCTTTGGAGAGTCGATCCCTGGACTAGCCTTTGAGGTTTGCCTAGCTCTCAATCGTGGTGAGTTGGAGCACGGAGTCCCCCATCATGCAGCGCCACAATTTCTTTGATGTGCCCAGGCTTTTTTGGTTGGAGCAAGTGTCAAGCGAGAAGCTTCATGGCATGCCCAGGATGGATGCGTTGGCTTGTGCTTCACAGTGGCAGCGGTGCCTGTGTGTCCTCGAGAGTATGGAGGAGGAGCTTTAGCGTTTCAAGGCTTGGCTCAAGTGCTCATGAGGGCTCTACGGCTTAGATCTGCAGTAGAACCAAAAGGCTGCCGCTGGGCTGCGGCTGGGCTTCTGGACTGCCCAAGGGTTCATGAAGTCACCATGAACCGAAGAGATCCTCAACCGCATGTCGCAAGCTTTGCATGTCAGGCAGTGCCATTGTTTCTGCATTGTTCGGGGCCAGTGTGGTTGGTTCCTGCACAAGTCCAGCTTTCCGCCCATGTTGCTCCCCCTGCTCAAGTTCGTACTGAAAAATATGTGAATATGTGCGTATTCGACATTTGTCCGTGGGTGATGCGTCCATCTGCCTTTGTCCCTGTGGCAGTTCCTGGAAAAAGCTTGCGATCAAGTGCAGCGCAATGTAAAATTTGAGAGTCGGCCGACCCATTTTTGTTTGTTTCAAACGAACCCGAAGGTCTCACTTTCCGCCGGCGCAGGAGGTGCCGCCCGGGCCCATCTCCTTCAACTGTGCCATCAAGGCCTCAGCCGGACACGAAAGTTGCAATGGGGAGACACTGGCACAATGCCTTTTGGCAGCCAGGGCCCGCAAATGGCGTCAATCCTCATGTCAGTGTTTTAGGATGGCACACTTGGGAAACCTGAAGCTCATGTTCAAGTCACAAAGGGTCTAACTAGATGGCATCGCCCCATTTAGGTTTCACCATTACATCTGACGGATGCCAACTACTTTCACCTTGGTGAAACAAGCAGCTGGAACGGAACCCTCAGGCCTGCGCCAATGGTGCCGCCTGGGAGGCAGCTCTTGGAGTACTGGACTGCATGGAGGCTTTGGGAGCTGGAAACACCCGCCGGGAAGCGAAATTTGGGGTGTTTTCAGGAATCCAAGGACTAAAAGGGAGCCCTGTCTTGGAACTGGGGGAGGGGGGAGGGTAGGGTGAATGTGGGCTGTTCAAAATTGGAAAAGCAACTGGGCAACATCGGTGAATGACCCGAGGCAGATCACCTTGTTTTTGTTGTCTGAAGGATCCGACACAGCCATCTTGAGGTCATTTTGAATCGAACGTAAACTCCAAGCCAATTGAAAACGGTCCCTTCATGCTTTTGACATGGTGAGGTATCCGGGTTGCAAGATGGATATATTTGCTGGAGTCTGAGGTGTATATGGTTTCTAGCTGGCTTGGGTGAATATTTCCTTAGGAAACCAACAGGAAATGGATGCCGAGTTGTCGGACCCCATGGCCCCATGGCAATGCCACCCAACTTGCCAAGATTGCCTCCTAGCAAAGCTGCCAGTGGCTGGCTCGAAACAGCGCAGTGCTGTGTTGAAGTGTTGTGTCTCAGGCATGGATGCCCAAGCTAGCGCTCCCTGGGCTTGGAGAAACAGCACACCAGACGTGCGTTCCGAATGTCTAGACCCGTTTGTTGTGGCTTTTCGGTGACCGTACGTGAGTGACCCCCCAAGAAGGGATTGCTCTCCTGAAGGTGCACACTTATTGCCTAAGCACCAAACATCCCCAAAGGCTTTCACTCCCAAACCCAAAACCAAGCCTCAAGCGGCTCTCGTTTCCATCCGTTTCACACACGCGCATCCTGCGCAACGACAGGCGCGGCGCCTGGAGGTGTCCGCAGTGGGCTGTAGCAGCGCGGTCAACGCCTGCGAGAAGAGCGGCAGGTGGCAGCTGGGGCTGGCGCTGCTGCACGCCTTTGCCGGCAAGGCGCCAGTGGGTGGGGGGTGTTTGGCCGAGAGGGGGGGATGAGGATGAGGTTGGAGGAGGTTTGGGGGGTTAGGGATGGTGGCTAGGGAAGTCGGGAAGTTGGAGAGGGGAGAAGTTGGCGCCGGGAAGGTTGGCTTGGGGTTGGGGGGGGGGGTGCTCGGAGTTTGGCGGGGCAAGGCTAGAGCTACTGCGAGGCCCAGAGGCTGTGGCTTCTCCGTGGCCCAAACCAAATTGATCTGTTGCCCTTAACATAGGACTTAGTTGTCGTCCACCTCAACTCATGAGTCATGGCCGCATAGTTTTGATATAGTTCCAGGTCGTTTAGGTGAGAGAGGCGCTGATTGGGTGGTTGAAGAATTACAAATGAAGCTCATGCAATTCGAGCGCAGCTTTGTGTTTGTCCCTTCAGAAACATGAGTGCTGAGCACCGTTCCCATCAAGCACTCGATTTTCTGGTCACTATGCTGACAGTTGTTCTCAGCGGATTAGAATGTCAGGTGCAGATGTGTTGCCTTGTTGCATTAAGGAAGAGCAGCTGTTCACTTATCGCCTGATTGTGAGTGGATATGGCTCTGTATGAAGGAATCCTTAGAACGCCATACTTATCAGCAAGCTTGATGTGTTCATCCCGTTTATCTGCATCGCGAGGATCAAGTTTTGGCAAAGGCAGTGTTTCTGTTGGGAATATCTCGCCCCACTTGCCCCGCAGAAAGACTCTAAGGCGCCTTCTATGAAACCCTTCTAAGGCAATTCCAGGCGCTTTTCCTGGAAGGGGGGGGGGGGGCCTTTAGTTCGCCTTTGGATGTTTGATGCTTGCACCAGGTACAACCCGATGTCGTGAGTTGCAACAGTGCAATCAATGCATGTGGCCGTGCCGGGCAGTGGTGGAGAGCATTCTTTATTCTGTGCCCTGGCTTGGAGAGATGTACAGCACTCAAGTCAGGGTTTCCTCAAAATGGGAGCCTCTTTTTGTATGGCTTCGAAGGACACCAAAAGGAAGGAACCAATTGAGCAGCGTGTTGTTTTGAGTTGGTCGTTAGCTTCGGGGGCAACTTGCAGACGGTTCGCCTAGGCAGTTGTGCGACACGTTGTGTGCCGCAAAGGCTGCGAAGTCTTTTGCGTAGGCAGCGCGGGTTGACACAGGCCAATGCACCCCGCAAAACCTGTTTGGATCGGCTATGCGTGCGCGTCGAAACGTTTAGGGCCCCTTGTCGATGACGGTAAAGGTACACCAGGAAAACCCAGACCATTTCAACAGAGTTGCAGCCGACATGTCGCGTGGAGGTTGGACGAGTCTGCCCGACCGCGCTCCAGCGCTGCAAGTAAATCAGCCGCATCTTGCCAAAAGCCAGGATAGATCCCTTGTCCCCAACTTGTGATATTTGGGGAACCAACTGACAATTGCAAATGATTGGCATGTTTCAAAAACAGGCGAGCGATCCGATACTAACTTCTTCTGGCGGAAAGGTTCTTTTCAAGATGCCGACGTGTCTCCTCATTTCGGAAACCGAATGCTGGAGACCCTCCAAATCAAAGATTCCACCACCACGAAGGCAGGCACACGGGTGACTCGCCCCAAGATGCTCAGGTGCTCCATGACTGCCGACCTCGTTACCTACAGCTCCATCATTGGCGCCTGCGCTGTGGGCGCCGCGTGGGTTACTGCGCTGACAGTTTTCAGCTCAATTCCCAGGCAGGAGCTGATTGATTGAAAACATACATGTCCGTCCTTCGCGTGTTGTCGATGCCTTTCCGAGCAAGCTATTCCTTGTTTGGCGTTTGCCCATCAGGACAATCTGGCTGCTAGACTGAAGGCTCCACTAGCATTCCCCCTGCTTGGAGAACGTGTTATCGCGTCAAGCAAAATGCCCCCCTTCAATCAAAAGTGGCAGCCATGCTTACGCAGCTGTCATTGGCCAAACATGGAAGGGCACGACTTGTTGTCCGAAAAATTGCTAGTGCATCAAGACTTTGCATTGGAGTGTTGCATGTTTGATGAGAAACTAGCACATCTTGGATTCACGGCAGCCGCCAGCGGTGGGTTCCAGGATGGACTGCCAAGCAGAGAATGACTTGATGGTTAACAGCGCCCTCCAATTTTGCTGCGCAACTGCTGGTTGACTCATGTTGCCTCCGAGCTTGTGAAGATGCTACGGGAGACCGCGTGAGCAATGGACAGGTCAAGACAGGTCAATTATCTTCCCACATGGCTCTCAATAATGAGTCATAATGAGTCTCTGGTTCAGTAGTGATATTTGGTGAGGACGACAAGTGGGGGCGGAAATGGACTGCAATCTCCCGTTTTGAACACCTAAAAGAGGCGCCGACTTCGGAGGCAGGAGAAAAAACACAGCTGCTCACAGAGGTTGCCTAAGGGGAGGTGTCTTCCCTTTGGTCCGCAACAGAGATCTGAGTCTGGTAACCCAAGTCTCTTGAAGCAGCCACTATCTATATACTGCATGGGAAGCCCGCCAGAGGGGCCTCCACAGGTCCGAAGCGGGCGAATCGGCAGGTGCATCGAAGGGGAAGTGGTGTGCGCCACTTTGGCCGCCTGCCAGCGGAGCTCCCAATGGCGTGCGCCGCTGGCGCGCCTTGGCTCCGGAGGCTACCAGCTGCAGGTGATCTTGGTCGGGGGCATCTGCTTTTGGGTTGCTCAGGGAAACCAAAGCTTGCTCCCTGAGCTCCTGGACGTGGTACTTTTCTGGAAGACCCATGAACAGTGGGAACGTAAACAGTGGGCTGGTTTTGGCCGATCCACTCGGGGCGCGACTCAAAGATAGCATGTCCAGGCACTAGAAGAAGACCCTTTTGTGATCCCTTCAATGCCTTAGCAGGGTACCTGGGAAACTGGGGATCAACAAATGTGAAAGTAAGAGGGATGCCTCTCTGAGGGGAGTTGTACCCTCTTGTGCTTAAAGATACAGCCTTTCTCATCACGGGTCGCTTCGCATGTTGCAGGGAAGTATGGTTTCAGGGTGCTATGAGTAGTCCCTGCCCTGTGACTTGCTCCAATATGTCATCTCACATTGTGCTTCTAGCTTCCCTGTGGGTGCAAACCCTGTCACGCTCTGAACTAGCTGCTGTCAACGCATGCCATGACCGCGTCAGGCTGCTTGGCGGGCGACTCGTTGGCACCATTGGCTACAACAACATACTCAGCGCGTGTGCGCAAGAAACGCAGTGGCGACGTGCACTGCATTTGGTCGTGCACATGCCGGAGTGGGCTATCCAACCCGACGAATTCAGCAACATGGCAAGGAAAAGGCTATAGCTGTTGGAGCCTTGTGTGACAATGGCATGTGCTACAAACAGGCATCATGTCTTGCATTGCTAGCGGCCTGCCAGCCACTGTTGCTGAGTAAGCTCAGCATGTGAGTCATGTGAGTTGTCTTCTCCAAGCATGGAAGCCGAACACCCCTTCAGAAGGCCAGCGTCTAAATAGGTGCATGTCAGCGTTCATTGGCATGTCAGAGCAGACTTGTTTGGATTGGGCAAGAGCACCAGACACGGTTCAGATTGCTTGGATCGCCACAGTGGTCCCAAACACTTTCGTGCTCAACATGGCTGGCGAACGAAAGCAAAACGAGAGTCGTGAAGCACCTAGGCCCAAATGTCTTAAGCAAAGCAAGCGACAAACCAGACAAATGGCCGAATGTTAGCCAAACCAACTCCCAGCAGGTTTTGCTTGCCGTGGACTGTCCTAGGCTTGCCGATTTTCTTGGGATCATTGGCCGGATTTGGGTAAATTCGAGGTTTTGGCAGCGCCGTCCACGCCTGCGAAAGCGGCCGCTGGATGGAAGCCTTGTGGCTACTGGCACCTTGGCAAGACGTGGGGATGCCGAAGTGTCCAGTGGCTCCGGTTCCCTACTGTCGATAGACAAAATTAGAACCCTGCACCAGCTGAAGATGGACCAAAGACGGAAACTGGGATAATTATATAACAAAGAACTGGTACAGGATGTTGTCCATCCACAATATGTCCCTTTCATTTGCATTGTCTCCATTAAAATAATCAACCCCAACAGGTGTCCACGTTCCGGGGACATTTCCGGGGACGTTCAAAGGGCAAACATGACATGACATGACATGACAGCAGCCATATACCCATGCATGCTTTGGATTCCCAGGTGCCCAGGCACGCTTTTTTTGTTGTGGTTTCCCTTTAAAATGGGCCAATGGCAGATGGCGACCTCTTGGAGAGCCCCTTGATGGGGGATGCCGAAACGGGTTTGGATATCAGGCATTTTCCGGCAGAAGCAAAGCAGCCCAAGAAATTGGATGTGCTGAGAAGTGTACACCACCAATAACGCTAAAACCGCCCGAAGTTGTGGCGCGATCGCCCTTCCAGCGCCTCCAAGTGTTTGGTTGTGGCAACTGGCAAAGCGAGATTCATGGTGCTCTCCAGACAGATCAGAGGTGAGTCTCCTTGAAGTGGGAGGAACATATTTTTTCATGTGGCATTCCAAAAAATGTCCGTTGGATTGTGGGTTGCTCGCTGTTGGTAAGTAGAATGCAGAAGGACCCCTGTTTGTTTTGAAAGAGTACCTAAGCGCCAACATGTTTGGCAGCTTTAGAGGTTGTTTGACACGGCTGTTTTTGGGTGCGGCCATAGCCCCACAATTTAGCTTTTCCACCAATCTACACAGGTTGTTAGACCTTTTGATCAGTTAGTTGACAGTTAGTATGAGTTACTATGGGCTTTGCAAGTTCTCTCAGTTTCGCGTTCACTTTGCCCACCCAAAAGGAGCAAATCCGACTCAATGCGACTAGGCTCTCTTCGCGGAGGGTTTTGGTCCTTTGCTCTGGCCATGGAAGAAGCACTTGTTCTTGTAAACTGTTCATTTCGAGAGGGACCAACGATAGCATGCAAGGAATGGACAAAGGAGCGGCCGAACCGCCACTAGTGAACAAGCGGCGGAAGTCAAACGTTAAGCCCTGGTTGGTGCAGAGCAAATTGCAAGGCAGCGTGAACCGGTGGCCTGCCCCCAGCAGATCATGTGGTATCTTTTTTCGCGAGGCGCAGCTGCGGATTTTGGAGATCTTGCCGAACAGCTTGATCTTGAGCTCCTGCCTGGCGGCCTGCAACAACGGGAATCAGCACCTTGGGCCTGCGGAAAGTGTTTTTTTGTTTTCGCCGACACATTCCCTGGCCTCTACCCATGCTTTCCTTCGCATCTCACTCTGGGTTGTGGCGAGTTTGGCTTGAATCCGGTATCCAGGGTCATTGAAATGCAGCAGCTGACCTGAGGAAAGGAGAACCACGAGATGTATTTCACAAAACGGGAGGTGGGTGTTGACCTTGAAGCGCTTACTTCGGGATGGATCTAAGTTGGTGGTTGTCAGGGCAAGCTTAGAGGCGTGTAAGAAGGTGTCCTCCTTAGGCCAGCGAGGAGTGAGGAAGGTGCCACATAACCCTCCCCAGACGCCTTTCCTGATGAGGTTCTGAAGTAGGTTTGTGTTTGTCAACAGGAGCTGGCCAACTTGCACACCTGATGGATCTTTTGCGGGATTCCCTTTACAGACACGCACGTCCCAGTGTCTGGACTTAAGGCTTTTTGGGAAGACCACTTCAGTGGCAAACGAAAAGTGCAAACTTTGTATTGAGCCAATCATGCCAATCTTGTCAAGAAGTGAGCTTGGACCTGTCACTTTAGAAATGAACAACTGACACGGGATTCTCTTGTTGAAATGCTTCTGCCCCGAGGTACCGCCGAGCCCTGCAGCTTTTGGAGCGCGAATTCGACAACTTCAACGCCGCGATGTTGGGCTGCGCCGTGCGGGCGGCGGAAGCGTTGCATGAGCCCAGCGCCGCGGGCGAAATGTGTTTGGCCTTTTTGAGGGTATGGTACACGTTTTTGATTGGTGTGAAAGGGAAGCCAAACGGAAGCTCCCCATTTGCGAACAAACCCAATTGGAATGGAATTGGTCCGGGTGTCAACATGCTCCCCTTGCTAGTCAACTCGTTTTCCCAAAAGATGCACCCGCCAATGAATATCACAAGCCCTTTCCTTTCCAGTGGCCAAAGGGAAGCTAAAAGAAATCAACCATTTGCGATGGGGCATGCCAGACCCCCGTCTTATTTGCCGGATCCGCGATCCCATTTAAGGGTGGCACACTCAAATACTTCAAAATGCGTCCGAGGCGTTCTCAGCCTCATCACCCTGTTGGGAGTGTGTCAAAATAGGGAACCCCAAAGTTTTGTTGTTTCCCTTTCAGTTCCCATTTAAAGAAACCACCCCACAGACGGTACAGACACACACACACACACCACACACCTGCGCGTGCAGACATCCACACACGCATACATGCGCGCACGCACGCGCGCACACACACACACACACCTTTGGAAGGCCCTGAGTCAGAAGAGGCCCTGAGTCAGAAGAGGCCCTGAGTCAGAAGAAAGACCTGAGGTGCTGCCAGTTTGGTGGCTGAGCTTCAGCGCCAGAACTTGCAACTGCTGAGCTCCAGCGCCAAAAGCGAGCGAGGGTCAGCCCTGGGGATGGACGAAATCCAGCGCCGGTTGGTAGGTGGCTTGTACAAGTAACCATAGAATTCCCATCCATCCCAATTAATGCAAGATGTGTCCATCCACAGTATTAAGCTGGACTTGAACTAGTGTCATAAAGTGAGGGCGCACTCCGCGTGATGTCGAACAGTTTCAGACCCAGCCACGGTGTCGCGTGTACCGATTCAGGGGTTTTTGTTGATGGGAAGCAACAACTGATTCCTGAAACAGAGGTGAATTGAGCTGCAAAAACACATTGACACTACTTGAATTTGACCAGGTGCAAACCCTGAAGCCAGCTGCGAGTTGGATGTTCGTCAGAACCATTTCCGAGTTTGATGGCTGTTCAGGAAGCCCATGATCGGAAACAGCTGGATCTTGGCACGACTTTGAGAGGGGCAGTCGGTAGGGTCCCAGATGTAGGGAGGGCGCCAGATCTACCTGGACGTGGGACATGAACTTGTCTAGCGCCGTGACCCTGATTTATTAGGGATTGCGACCCACTCTGCTGAAGTGGAATCGGACCACTTTGGGGGGCCTATTTCTATGTTTAATGAATATGTCAGTTTTATGACTGCATTCCAGGTTTTTCCTTGCTCGTGAGAATGAGCGAATGACGAAACTGTCCTACCGTTTAACCAGCTGAAGAAGGACGTTCTCTTTTTTGCCAGTCATTCTCTAGAAAGACTCAGCTGCCCAAAGTTAACCTGTCGGTTTTTGTTTCAGCATTGAGTCATGGGTCCAAAAGGTTCACGAAGGAGGGAACCTAAGAGCCTTCGTTGAGGGCCGACCACTCCAGTTCAGGAACACCCCAAACCCTAAAGGGCCCAATTCCTTTGGTTTTCCCTGAAGAATCCAAGCTGTACCCTCAAAATCAACGACGCGCACCCCCTTCATTCGCAGCGCACAAATCCAATGCTCTTGGCCAGGCCAAACCCGCCAGGTGCCACTGCCAGGCACAGTCGGCGGTTCCGCGGGTCCTCGGTTCCGGTCGCGATACAATTACAAGGAAGTTTTGCTACTCCCATGCAGGAGTGTATCCCCAGACGAGGTAAAGAGGAAGGGGGCAGTATGAAGAAGCCTCCAAGGTATCTTCAGCAAAGTTCCCCAGGTCTTTTACCATAGACCTGCAAGAGTGAAATGGCGATTGGTTTACAATGTGAGAGGTCCCACATGGACCCATCATTTCAATCAATCAGAAGCATTCAGACTGATCTGTGCTCCCTTTTGCCTTACTTTATCCAGGTTGCCCCATGTTTCAACCAACCAACCAACCAAAGAGCGCCGGGAATCCCTGGCAGCTGGTTTGGCACCAGGTGCCTTGCGGCATCTTTCACGACGACGGCCGCATCGCAGCCATCCTGGAGGCCCGGGACCCCAGGACAGCACAGAGGCGGAAAATGTTGGAAAGGAACAACTGTGGGTGCGTTGTTGGGGGAGGGGGTCGGGGCGAACCTCTTGTTGGTTCGGTTTTTAAGAGAAACCAAAAGAACACCTACCATTTTTGGGGGGTCCCTGCTTTAAGACAAAACGTAGCGGTTTCATCACTGCAAAGGTTCCACCCCCCTCCCGCCTAGCCCACATGGGTGCAGTGATTGGACGTCTCATTGGGAAATATCATGCCACCTGTCGGAACCGCAAAGGCAAGCGTGTGACGTTGCAGATTGCCAAGAAAAAGGGGGCCCCGAATCGGCCTAGCGATTGTCAAGAGGCCCACGAAAGTCTATCTGGTCCTCTTGTTTCTGTGGTCTTAGCCATCCTTCGTGCGAAAATAACTTTCTGGATGGGTGGCCCCTGCTTTTTCCTTGGCCCGCGGCGACCAGTTAATTGTTTAGTGGTACGGTGGTGTTGGTCAGTTTGCTCCCCATCATTGACCAGTGGAATCTTATGTTGCCCAAAGGTCCCCTTAGATCTTTCCAACTTTATGCCAAGGATCAAGCTCCTTTTTTTGCAGTGACCTGGACAAGGGAAATCCGTGGGGAAACCCAGTGGTCTCGCGCCCTTCCGAGGATGCCATGACCATCCGCAAGGCGGTGGTGCAGTGCCAGGAGCTTCACAGGTCCGGAAAGCTGCAGGAGAGGGACCCGGCCCGCGGCGGGCGTCGGTTGGTTCTTGGCGACCCGTTAAAGCCATGGAGACCTCCCAAAGGGCTGTGCTTTTGATTGGAGCTCCTGCAGAAATGGCCGGTTGACATCAAGTTGATGCAAATGAGGTCCAGCAAAAGATCCCCGAGTGTAGCAGAGTTGGGGGTGTGCGTTCCTTGGTTTGGTGTCAAGGGCAACAAAGATGGTCCAACTACATGCATTCGAAACACCAAAATCCTTTCCGCTTGGGTACCGACTTGCTGAGGTTGAAAATAAAGGCTTGCCCTTGGAGAGCTGTGGAAACACGTAGAAAGCCTTCTTCTACACGGGGCAAAGGAAGACCAGTGCCGACGGGGCTTGGAGGGTTGAAGATGGAAGTTTCGCTCCAGCTTAGTGAGGGCGTCAGCCTCCATTGTGAACTGATTAGTCATTCAACTCATACAGAGCTTGTCTTAGTCCATGAGCCCAGGAGGGCTTTCGATATTTGAGTTTGCAGACTCCTGGTCCTCCTTGCCTGCAAGAGAAAAATAATGTATGTGTTGTTGGAGGTGCCCCTTTGTCAGCAGGAAGGGCTGTTGGCATTCATAGGAAGGCCTGCAGCCCAAAACTCACAAAAGAGGGCAGGGGGAAAACTCCTTGGCGTCCAAAAGCGGAAGCTCGATGAGTCATGAACGGCTACAGACCTTGTAAGGCTGCAAATTCTTACTTTGGTTTTCAGCGCGTCCTGGTGGAGGATGGTGCAGATGTCAGACGAGATTGCGATGTAAGCTCAAACTACCCCAGCTATAGAAGCTGTTGTTGAGACTTCCGTGAATGTTGAAAGACAACGATAATAAACTGTCCCGAGCAAGAGAACGAAACCGATGTGTAGCTGTGTTGTCTTTTTTGGGTTTGTATCAATTGCTTTGTGCTTTCGACCAAGCAAGTGAGTGAGCAACTGGCGATTCCAAGCAAAAAAGCACTTGGGTTCTATCCGATTTCAACTTGTTGTTTGCTTTGAGTTCACATACTCTGCGCTTACCTTCGCGGCCCTTTTGCTGGAGTCCTGCCCTCGCTCGGAAATGCAGCCGGAGATATCCACTTGTTGTGCATTGCAGAACACGAACAAGTCTGTGTGCAATACTAATGGACTAATAGTTGCCAACGTGTTGCATTCTGCTCAAACATGTCCATCTTCGTGCGGGATGCCCCTTGAAGTGCGATAGATCGCTGTCTCCTTCTCACGCTGTTTTTGTTGCTTCGAATGTGCACAAAGCAGGTCCAGGCCTAAGCAGCCAGTCTGTTACCTGTGTGCGCAGCGACTTGATCCGCGAAGGAAGAGTAGCTGTGCACGCGAGCAGGTCAACATTGTTTGTTTCAGCCATGTTTGGTGGCGACCTGAAACTGAGCCAGGCTCTAACCTCGAGAAAACGCGCTTGCCTGCAACCGTCAAAGGAAACAACGGCCTTGAATGTGATTTCCTGCTGCGCTTCTGATTTGCATTCAGTTTCATAGAAATCAGAAATGAAGGCCCTGCTGCGCAGGACACTCACCAGCCCTAGCCTCAGCTCGGCACAGATTCATTTTCTGAAGATAGACCCCATTTGCACCTTGCCTCTAAGAGCCTGCTCACGTCATGCCGCTGCCTTGGCAGGTGCATGCATTTGCATGCATCTTGGAATAATATCAGCTGATTTGGGGCGGCATTTGAACTGTGAAATGGAGACAAGCATATGTTTGTGGTTTAGTCGAAGATGAGCACCCCCAAGAAAACCGAGTCCAGACGAAAGTGAAGTCGAAGGCGAGCACAACATTCAATCAAGGCTTTTGTTGGAACTCCAGGCTGAGTGGGGCAAATTGGAATTACCCCTTCCAAGTTGAGCGCGATTTGAAACATCAGCGGTCTTTTGGCATCAGGAGAGTTTGAACATCAGCGGAAATTAAGCGAGACGCAAGTGATGGACACTGAGGAAGCACAAGTGAAACCAGGTAAAATCGGAGTTGTGGAGTTTTAGAGTTGGGAGGCTACCCCTTCCATTTCGAGAACCACTTCAGAAGTTAGCAGCATGTTAGCAGCACTCTAGACACCAAGGGAAATTGAGCGCCAGCAAGAATTTCCGTGTCAGCCGAGTAGACGCACTCAGAACTACCGAGAGGGGCAAGCAGGATTTTCGATCTCATTTCAATCACAGCTGCGTTGATTTAGGACCCTGTCTGATTGTCGCCGTGAAGTGCAAGTATCTCGAAGCGATTGGATGCGATGGGAGCCGATTCCGGTTGATTCGAGGCTTGTTCGATGGATAAATACGAAGGAGGAGCACGCAGGGCAGCCCAGATCCTCGAGCCAAATATGAGATGAGTCGGCACACATCGAATCGGCAGCTCCACTCACACAGGTGGAAGGCCTCTTTGGGCGAGAAACATGGTTGAAACCAAGGTGAAGGTGTATCGGTCCAGTGTTTTCTGGGGTCACCAATCTCGTTCCACACCTGCAAGGCGGGGTGGATTACACCTGGAGATCTTCCAGTTTTGCGTTTCTGATTGAAGCAATGGGAAAGCAGCTGTTGCATGTATTTGTCGCTCAAACGCAGAGAGAAAGCGGTCACTTTGCAAGTGATTTGCATCCACTCATTTGGTGGTTTCCTGTTGGTTTCCCTTTCGGGGAAAAGCGTACCCTCAAAAAACACACATACCTCCTGAGGTCTTGTCACCGATCATTTTTTTGTTTGGCATGTGCTTTTGTTTGCTCGGGTCTCCCTGTTGCCTCCATCGACTCAGAGCCCAAATGGCTGTCGACGAGCCCAGAGGCTTCCAAGTTGATGAACACCATCGCAGAGCCGGGGGCTTCGATGTGTCCAGACCTGGGCTATATTAGAGCCCTTATGTTGATGAGATCCCTTAGGAAGATGGCGGGGCTATATGGAAGTATGGAAGCCCTTATGTTGATGAGATCCCTTATGAAGATGGCGGCATTTGCTTCTAACTTGGGTTCCCTTCAACCGCAAATGATCTGGCAGATCTTGGCTCTTTGCCATGCCCAAAGCTAGGATTCCGCCAACCTGTTGTTGATTGTTGGTTCCGTGCAAGGATGCCGACGTCGTGACATCGAGGAAGACATGGCCAATACCCCTTTGAAGACAAACATGACACATCCTTTCCACGCAGGTTCCATCATATTTCCCAATCATACAAGAGGGTTCATGATCATTGCAGGACTTATCAGACAATAATTGCAACACTTCTTTGAGAAGGAGAGCAACGATTCTGTACATCCATTTCGTATTGGGACGGTTTCTGCGAATTCGGTAGGAGGGAGAGCTTGGACGGCTACTGGAAATTGCAAGTGGGGAATATCTTGCATTGTTCAAGCCAGTGCAGTTGTTTGCTTGCAAAACTCGGTTGGGAACTGCGGAACCACAGCTCAAATGTAGACCCTCGCAAAATGGCCCGGTTCTTTTCGGGGTTCGCCTTGAAGCAGCACCACCCTCCAAAAAGGGGGCTCCTCCTCATTGCGTTTCGACCACAACATATCCAGAAATGTGTGATCAATTTGCGTGGGGGATCGACTCACTATGTTTCCCATGTCCTTCATTTACGCTAGCGCAAAGCCAACGTACCAGGTCGGCGACCCCATGTCCTTTGTCTTGGTTCGTGTCCTCGCGAAAAGAAAACGACCAGAAGCTGCGACAGCTCGTGAGGTACTTCCTGGCGCAGAAGGTCAAGAAGGAGCAGCTCTCGGCGCACGACTACTTGGAGGCGCGGGCGTCAAGCGTTTCGGCGTCAAACGGGTTTCTTTGTGGGCCATGGTCAAAAAGCAGGTTCCCTTTCTTGGGGTAGGGATGGTCATGAACCTCATTTTTTGTGGGGTGGGGGTGGGAGCAATGTGAGATTCCAATATTCAGGAAGCCGCCATTGCGACAAAGAGAGTTTCGAGGCTCGTGTGGGACTTTTGACCTGCCATTTTGCCTGAGAAACAATGGCATGGTTGTGGGAAGTTGTTGGTTTAAAGTTTGTGGGTTGCCAGTTGGGATGCCAAGCAAAGTTCCGCCTACGTAAAGATAAAGGACAGATTCTGATAAGCGGGTTCTATTAAACGGATTCCATCGTGCAACCAAGGACAAGCATGTGTGTAGCCTCATAAAGCCCAAGTCGATAGAACCCATTTAGGGTCATCCGAACTATGTTTCGCGCAAAATGGGACGTTGTGAGCATGATGCCGTCTTACATGTACTACTCGATATGCTCTCCGACTGGTGCAAACATTTGTCAGACCCTTCCAATTTAACAGGTTCCTGGTGTAAAGCCCTCCACCAGAAAGATACCTCGTTTGGCCACCAAGACCCTTTTTGCTTCGGAACCGGCGCGGGCGGGCCTTAGTCGTGGCAGGTCTTGGCGTTGCACCATGCCGCGGCGGGCCTAGCTTGAGAGCTTCATTCTGGAAGCAACGATTACCCGCAAACAGCAGCTACCCCCGTGGGTTTGGCATATACAACCTTTGCAGAGCCAATACATATATTATATACACATAAAGGGCAAACAGAGGGTGCGTTCTTTGTCCTTTTTGCCTTGGGGGTAGTGGTTTGGGGTAGTGAAGCCCATGTTAGCTCCAAACGGTCCAAAACGAAACAAGCAATCTGGGGGACTCACGTGAACAAGCTTTTCGAGCTGATGGTTGGGAAGTGGTGGTTTGGGAGGTACGTAGGTAGCAGGTGTGGGAGGGAGGGTTAATTTGTAGCCATTGGATGCTGTAAAAAGACAAGGGACCTTAGGGGTCAAGCCTTAGAGGTTTCCCCAAAGGCAGACTCGCAAAAGTTAGGGTTCTTTGCTTTTGAAGATGCTCCTCTTGACTGGCCTTGTCCTGCGGGACATGAGGGATCACATGACCTTCGTACCGCTTGCACACAGTGCCCCAAGACCAATTCTTCTCTTAAAACGATGGTGTTCGACCACAGAACT